TTTACCCTTTTATGCAGCTATTTCATTATTTACCTTGGGCAATATGATAAGCTTTTGCTAATTTTACTATGTAACATGGGGTACTTTCAGACTCACATACACATAATTCCGCGCAAGGCACTTGATTGCTTATGGGCTTCTGAGGTATGCATCAGTCAGTCACATTTTATGTCTCCTTATTATGTAAAACTGGACATTCTTGAGGATATAAGTTTGATATTTGCAGAGTTTGCTTATTGTCTTGAGGATATATTACCTTGCAGAGTTTGCAGAGGCGGCCGCTGAACGTAGACCAGGAAGCCCCTCGACTTGTAGATCGAGTTCGAGAGCAATTATCATTATCCGACGACTCTGAAGGTAGCAAGGGTCAAGGATCTAGTCTTACCGGAAACTAGAGGCATATTTCATCCGGTTCCGTTGTTGTAATTTACAGTGTACAATTCTGTAAAATATCCATACTTCAATTCTTTCAAATGTTTAGCATGACTTGCAGAACTTTCTTTGTTTCATATGTACACCACTGGTTTACAGTGACACCCCCATCTATATGTGATATGTTGCATAGTTTTTGAAGCTCTGGGCCCAAAACCTCATGACCATGAGAAGTTTCTGTGGTCACTCATTTCATCATATATTCTAACAGATGTTTGTGCATTGGATACCAAACACATAAGCAAGACGTTAAAAACCCAAAAGGTCACTGCTTTTCGTTTTCCAAAATTTGGGGATTAGAAAAACAATAACTTTGATTAGGATTTCCCATTGACCAATTTGATAATGCAAATGGATCATAAAAGAGTTAAGGCATTGGCCAGTCAGACCAACCCAGGATCTTTGTTTATTTATTTATTTATTATCAAAGGGCATTTTTGGAAATCTGAAAAGTTTGACCAATGAGAGCTACTCTTGAAAAGCTTTGGGATTTTAGAGAAAGAAATTAAAAAGACAACCTACCAAAGGGATGTAAAGTGAGCTTCTAGGGGAAGGCGAAGCAAAATAACAAAAGTCTCTTTGGCCTTCTCAAACTCCCAATAACAAAATAAGGAAATTACAAAGAAACGTCTCTGACTCGCTTGAGGGTTTGGCGTTGCCTCCCTTCTTCTTCCATTTCGCGCTTTTGCTTTTTTTCGCTTTCGCCTGGAAAACTCTCGAACCCTCCAACCTCTTTCCCCGATATTCAAAAACCGCTGCTAAAACATAGAATTGCCCACACCCATATTCACAGAAACACCAAAAGAAACGATTTTGGGAGAGACCCAGAGAGATAGAGAGAGAAATGGGGCCGAGTCTCGCATTTTCTACGGCGGAGGAACTCAGGAAAGCCGGCAACTCTTACTTCAAGAAAGGGTTCTTCAATGCCGCCATCGAAGCATATACTGAGGTATTTTGTTCTTCAATTCGCTTCTCATGTGCTCTGTATGTATCAGAATGTTTATTGGGTCTTTATAATTGATGATTTCTTGTTTGTTGTTGATGGGTTTCAAGGCGATAACTCTGTGCCCTGATATTCCTGTTTATTATACGAATCGCGCCCTTTGCCATCTGAAGCGTAAGTATGTATGATCACCCGCTCTTTCTCTGTATTTTCAATTATGAAAAAAATGAAATTTTGTCATCGAATTCTTGTACTTCTTTTAATGTTGTAAGTAATGCAGTGATTGGACGAGAGTGGAAGAAGATTCTCGGAAAGCTATTCAGCTTGAACACAACTTAGTTAAGGTAAATTCTTATGCTTTGGCTTTGGTATTTTTTAAAATAAAATAAAAAAATTTGCCCTTTCTATAAATGTGGTTGCCTATTTGTTGTCTGTTGCCCAAGAATAAAGCATGGTTTGGAGGAGTGAGATTTGGTACATTGCTACCCTTCTTGTATCTAATTGAGTATCTAATAATTGCCTTGGTGCTGCAGAAACTTGCATTAATTGTTGAATTGTAATGAATTGAACGTTAACATTCTAATGAATCTTTGGCCTGAATTTCTTTTTCAAACATGCTATCATTTTATGAGTTAAATGCTTTTAATACAATTTGAGCATATTCAGGTGGTTAAAGGAGTGTTAATAAGAGTTCCACCTACATAGTGGCACGAAAGCATGGATTCTTTATATGCTTTGTGTTCCTGACTTTCCTGGTTGAGAATCTTACGCTTTTACCTAATGTCTTCTTCTTTAATGGAAACTTTTCCTTCTTCTTTTGGATCATAATGGTTTCATGTAGTTCATTGAAAATTTGTTGCATGACAGGCTCACTATATGTTGGGGCTTGCATTACTACAGAAGCAAGAGTACGCTGATGGAGTTAAGGAATTGGAAAGGGTAAGAAGTGGTTTATGTCTAGCGTACTTTGTATTATAAGCATCGAGCATATTTCTCTTAGTTGTTTGCCCCTTTTCAGTTGATTATGTTAGAGGGAAAATTCTATTGAAGTTTTGTTTCAACTTCCTTGTACAGGCTTTGGATCTTGGGAGGGGCGCCAATCCGAAGGGTTATATGGTAGAGGAGATCTGGCAGGAGCTTGCAAAAGCGAAGTACATGGAGTGGGAGGATTTATCAAGCAAACGTTCATGGGAATTGCAAAACTTGAAGTATGTCTCCTTCAGGCCTGTGATGTCTGAAAAGGTTTTCAAAACTGAATAATTATTTGATGTTCATTTTTCTGGTTGCTGCTTCATAAAACTTGTTTCATGTCTCAGAGAAGCTTGTGAGAATGCTCTCAAAGAGAAACATGACGCTTTTGAAATGGAAGGGTTTTTGGATGAAGCTGGTCCTACTCATATGAGACAGTTAGAGGCTTTAGGAAGAGTGTTTGAGAAAGCTGCAGAAGCTGACACACCAAGTGAGGTCAGTAGAGCACACGGTTTTCTTTATCTTCCATTTTCCTTCGTGCTTTTTCTTTTAAGAAGAATCTCAATTATCATGTGACAATGTTAAAAAAAACTTCAGGTGCCGGATTACCTTTGTTGTAAAATCACTCTCGACATATTTCGTGATCCTGTGATTACTCCTAGTGGGGTTACATATGAGAGATCAGTGATCCTTAACCATCTTGAGAAGGTAATGTTTGGTTGCATCTACTAATACACTCTACTTATATGTATATATCTACATTAATCTCCAACTCTTTTGTTTGCAATCATCTAGGTGGGTAACTTCGATCCAATCACACGTGAGCCACTTGATCAATCACAGTTAATACCAAACTTTTCCATAAAGGAAGCAGTCGAAGCATATTTGCAAGAACATGGTTGGGCTTACAGAACAGAGTGAAGGTTTATTTTTCTTCTGAACAAACTTAGAAGAGTCGAGATAGTGATGCTAAAACATGTAATGAACTACAGTGGGAGAGTGCAGTATCCTATAGGTATGCTTGTTGTGTCTGATCTTTTGTGCCCTCAATCAATGTTGGTCGCTGTTATTTATATTTGCAGTGTTTTTTATGTATGATGCTGTGCCCTCAATCATCATATTGCAGAAGGTCCTTATCCTTTTTGAAATTGTACAGAAACCAGTTAGATTATTGATTACTGAACCTTTGCATAGATGAGCGCCCATCTGATTCAAATTTTGTGGTTCATTAATTTGTTTTATTTTTCTTGGCTTCAAAAAGCGACGGGTATTAACACTCGGGTTCATGGTGCTTCTAGGGTTTGATCCCTCGTTTTTCAAATACTTTCCCTCGACCAAACTGTTCTAACCCTAGCCAATGGGTTCTTAGCTTTAGCGGTAGTGGTCTATGGTTTGCACCTTATGACACTCTGTGAGAATGCCCCCCTCCCCTTCCTAACTGTGGGAAAAAAAACACACCTTCCAAGACTATGAAGGGGGGAGGAGAGCTTTGACTCAACACGAAAATTTGCCATGTCATATTTTTTTGTATAAACAAATTTTTTTTCTTTAATTTCCTTCTAATAGAAGATTAGGAGTTTTTAATTAATTCAGTTATTGTATTTATTTTTAGTCCCTGTGGCGGCGATCTAGAAAAAGTACCTCACTATGTATTTCGTTACTCGCATATGCTTGAGCAATCAAAAATAAAGGAGACAGGTCTGGAAGCTTCAAGATATTTTTTTGTTGTTAAGATTTTAGATAATTAATTTCAGCAGCAACCACGTAAAACCACTCGAATTCTCGGGTTATTTTCAAGTTACCCTAAAATTTGTCAATACTTTAAAGTTCCCTTCCTTGTTCTTCATCTTCATGACCATTGAACTCCATAAACGAGATACGCACCAGACCTATCACCTTAATAAACCGAGTCACTTGAGTGAGGGTGCAGCCATTGATTGGGTCGTCCTCTTCCACTGTTGTGACTGTCGGGGAAGAGAACAGCAGAGCATAGATGGCTCTGATAGTCATGACAATGATGACGAGCCTGACGATCAGAGCTAGCTGTGTTCCGATGTTATCTTCGTTGCCCTGCCACTTGCCGGATCCAGAACAGGGGTTGATTTTATTGTTTTTGACCATTCAAGTGGCTTCAGCCCTTCCTCGTTTCCATCCAAACAAGTGGAGCTTGAACTCATTTAGACCCTTCTCAGCCACCACTCCGGATTCCATACTCTACACTGCAATCTTCTTCCCATGATGCAATCCCCCTTTGTACACAGTTAAAAACCTCCAATTTCCTAACATATTATCCTCACCATCTGAACGTGATATGAACCGCTACTTGCCCTCAATTTGAACAAACTATCAATTGAATCATATTCAAATCCATAAATAAAATTTTTGAACCCTAAGCCTACAAACAATCCCCAAAAGAATTATTGGCAGACCCCAAGACGCAAGATTGGACCAATTTGCCGCTCCATAACTAACATTAGTGAGATAGATTTGACAGAAAATAGAAATACTCAAAACATCGAGGACAACCAAAGCAGTATGGACCTTTTGCCAAAACCAACTCGAGCCTCAGCGAGGTCTCCCAACCAGAATTCACCTACATCCTCTCTTCTGTTATCTTCCTTTAGATCCACCCCACAAATAAATATAGGGAATTGTATTGCCAAAAATTTTATATTGGGTTTAATTGCAAAATTGTTTGTATTTCAATAGAGGGAGCCAATCTAGAACAGTTTCAAAAACAATCCATCTTTCAAAATGGAATCACAATCCTTTTAGAAACCCAAAAAGAAAGAAATGAAAATCTAGTCTATTACAGATTCAACTACGTTGTTATGAGCAGCACTCTTTAGAATTTCATAAATCCCAGCCAGTTGCAGTAGGAGCACCATCAACTAAAGGAGCAGGAACAGGTACTGGCTCCCCCCACCCATCTGCAGCAGCGACTGCACACAAACACATAAACCAGACAGGGAAAAAACAAACATAAGTAGCAGAAATAGACAACAGATGTGCGATGATAGCACAAAATTTACAACAATAACAAGGTTAAAAAGTGAAACCTGGTTCTGCAGTCCAGCTAACAACAGGAGCTGCTGCGATAGCTGCAGGGGCATCGGTTGGCCAAGGAGCATCAGAAACTTGGGCAGGCCATTGATCACCAGCAAGACCACCAGCAAGGCCGCCAGCTGCAGAATAATCTGTAATTCCATAATCCGCCGCTGTAGCAGCTTCTTCCTCCTCCTTTTCCTTGGCCTCCTCAGGCTCTCTATAGAAGAATAGATCAACCTGCAAGCAGAAATTTTGAGCCATGATAAGTAGTTTAGAGAGTATCTCTTAAGTAAGCTCCTAGTTGCTTTACATGTAATGCACAAAAGTCCAGACATACAATTTCAAATTCAAAAGTGGTGTTCTGTGCTTACCATGACATCCCACTTATGCCCTGGACGGAGGGAGCCACGCATCTGCAAAACCATCCTTGCTAGGATCCAGAAAAGACATCCTATGCTGTGCTTACCCTTATTATTGGCAGGGATGCCAATATCAACATAACGCATGGGAGAATCAGTATCACAGAAAGCAATTGTTGGAATGTTTCCAAGAGCTGCTTCCTTAATTGGCTGCAGGCACATAAAGATTATTAGAACACACTGAGATAACAAGCATAACAAAATTGGGAAATAATATAATATAATATAATAACACACACACAAACAGAAAATAAATAAAAATTTCACATTTAACAAGCCCTGGATAATAACATCAACTTTACTGTTGCAACAGTCTTCAAAAGAACATAGAAGGACCCCAGAAATGAAAGTTGACCGTCACCTGGTGATCTGTTCTTGGATCAGTCAGAATGAGGAGACGGGGCTCATTGAAAGATGTCTGAAGCTGATTGGTAAAGGTTCCTGGGGTGTGTCTTCCAGCAATTGCATTAGCCCCAGTGTGCTGAGCAAACTTCAGAACAGCCCTCTGACCGTAGGGCCTTGCCGATTGTACAATAATATCCTTGGGATTTTCAATCGCAACAATCACCCTGGCAGCCAGCTGAAGCTTGTCCCATGTCTTTCCGAGATTGATAATGTAAATCCCTGAGATTGACCAAATCAGTATTTGAGTACTAAGTGCCAATTCAATAACCCAAAAGATTTGTTCCTATAACACATCAAAACCTAACAAAACAATAGGGAGAACTATGTCAAATCACAGTGTTTCTTGTTCATATAACTCAACAACAAATCAGTGCAGTCAAAAACTAAAAACAATACCCACAGTCCCTAAAATGCAATTAAATAATATTTAAACAAAACATTTCATGTTCTAAAATCAAGTAAATTGAACAGAATGAGCAGTTCACAGAGGCACATTTCAATATTAACTTAGAAGAAAATTACAACAAAATGTACCTATGCTAACAAATAAAACTAAAACTAAACAATCTATATACGAGATCTGTCAAAAACAGATACCGTACAAATTAGAAGGTGCCCATCATATGCATTTTCTCAGAATCCATCACAAATCCAAAAGCATAAACAAAAACTAAGAAAAGGATTGTATCTGACGAAAACAGAGGAGATATTTATACCATCATTGCGGCGCTTGAAGACGTATCTTTCCATCTGAAAATAACA